CCATATCGTTTATTGTTTGCTACTGTGTTGCTAGTCTGGCCGTTTCCTCAAGAAAATAAAAATCTGATCTATATGAATAAAACCATTTTTTGATTACCCAAAGTATGGTGTTGTTCTCTTATTCAAATTATAAATGATACAACTAAACAAATTAATAAATATTTAGGTGAAGCTGTACGCTTGAATTTGTCATCGCATCATCCTATGCAGTGTGGTAAATTATTATTGCTCATTATTGTCTATAGGCTGTTTTAGGTGAATTATTATTGATCATTATTGTCTGTGGGCTGTTTTAGTCATTCATTCATATATTAATGACATTGTATTATAATATTAAACCACTCAAATATTTAGGCTACTACCTTCTAATTTCCGTTGTCAGTGCAGGCTTTTTTAAATTTTATCTTAGGCTACTGACCATTATGGATTAGTGTAGCCTGCATTAAAAATTCTTGAACATAAAACAACAGGATAAAAATATAGTTGATGACTAGACATAATCATTTCATGACTCTAGACACTTCTTTGTGAAGACAGTAGCATAATACAGTGAAATAATATGTTCTTTAGCCATATAAATACAGTTGCCATGTGCGTGGGTAAAATTTACCTGCTGGCGCTTTTAGGTATACAGCGACCTCTGGCGGTTCCAGTGTTAATTATGTAATTGGCATGATACATTTTTACCTGACTAATAATAAATTGATATACTTGATTTATTCTGATCTCCTCTGAAATCATTATTTCTAGTAGATTAAAGTGCAGTCTGGTGTTTCCGCAAATCTGTGTCCAGGATAGATCATACTGAAGTACCAATGAATGGACCATGGGGGACATCTTTAGGGACTTCTGATTTCTGACTGTCACTGACTTTAACAAGTTACAGTTTTAGTGATTATAGAAAAAATACACTTTTAGTTATTTGCTAGCAGTGTGCGGCTTATGATCACCCTGTATCCTCTGAGTAAGTACAGAACTGGCGAGTTTGTGCCGTGTGTTCACCGTTGGCCAAGTGAACTACTAAGCAATACCAGGCCGTTAATGAACGAATAATTAAAAGTATGGGATTTCCAGAATAATCAAATATCAAAATTAATACATAATCGACATTTGTGATCAGTTTTTAATTAGAAATACCTCCTAAATTTAATGATCACCTGAATTTGGAGTCAGATGAACACAGAGCTAGACTCAAAATTGAAAATAAATCCTGATAAATTAAGTGAACTTTGCAGAAGCGCAAGTAAAAGACCTAGACGCATTATAGTAGCTGGGGTTTGCGGGGCCCCAGTGCAGGTTGTACCAGTGGGCCCTGTTTGAAATGGTTTAATTTGTATATTCGTTTTATTTATCTATTTGTGATATTTACACAATGTTTAAGTATTTTTCTAGTTTGTAGGTGTCCAGGTACAGAAACTTAATAATCAAATGTAAAATAGCACTGCATAGCCTTCACTGTAAACATTAAATATCCTCAAACCAAAATTTACTCAGACACCTTAAACATTTCTCACATTATCACAGTTTATTTGCTATAGTTTAGAAAATGCTATAGTTAATAAAATATGACAAGAACTCAGAGTTAAACTGTGTCAGAACAAATTCATCTTGATAATGTCAAATAACTTTGATAGAAAGGTACGTAATGGATTACAATCAAACAAAAAATCAGACAAGTGTTAGTATGACAATATTTACATAACTATCAATACTTTGACCAATTACCAAGCAATGCTTAATTTTGTTCAGTCTGTGGTGTAAAAAGCTTGCATTAGCAATAAAACAAACAAACAAAAAACACTTAAGAAAACATGGTCAGGTCAAAGTGTCAGAATAATTTTTGGTCCCAAATGTTTTATCAATTTTACTGGTAGTCCACTGTATGAAGAATTGTTGGGTATAATATGTCACAGTTTACTTTATTTTGCTATCCTCACTTATATAAATGAACTATAGTGTCCTGCACCCACTAGTAAAAAAATATAAAACATTATATCCGGTGTCTGAATAATTTTTGGTTTGACTTTGGATTAATTCTTGTTAAAACTACAAAGTAATTCAGTCAAGAGCAGTGAGTGATTTTCTTTCATTAATTTTCTTGAATTAACATTACAGCAGCTAGTAAATTAGGCGTGGTCACTTTAAGAGACAATGCATCCATTATAATTATACACATCCAATTTCTTTCTCCACTGTTTACTTTCACTTAAGACATAACTGAGAGTTTTTCTCCAAGACGGGTATTTTGACATCATTTTGTATGTATTTGTCAGTACAAGAGCAACAAGAGGCAAATTCAGTGTTCATGCGCTTTGAGACGCGTCTCTCTGCGTGCGCCCTGTGCGCATAGAACACCGTGCTGGGGTGCTGAATTGGGCTCTTTCACATCTTTTTCTGTTTGCATGTTTAAACTGCGATTTGTATTTGTTCGTTCAGGTGCAGGAAGACGTGAAGGAGAGCTCGGTTCGGTGTTGGTGTCCATTAGACACATCTCTGCGTGCGTGCCCACCGAACACGGTGCGCGAGTACTCAGTTGAGTTTTTCCACATCTTGTGTTTGAATGCTTTAAACTCTTTTGAATGTTTAAATTGGCAAGGCTTAAAAACACGTGCAAACGATAAGCTTTCATGATGATGCGCAGCAGTGGCCCATCAACTGTCCTGAGCATCTTTTTAGGCTGGCATCAGCCAATCGGTTGAGATCGCCGGGGGGCCCCCCTCAGCCGTGGGCCCCTATAATCATCACCACATTTCACCCCACTAGCGACGGGACCCTGCCTTCACCCACCAATTGGATTCCGTCTTTGGGCTAATCTGGGTGGATCCTTACAATACCGGGTTTAGGTATTCATTTCTACTTACAGAAGAAGCACAGAAGCATCAGTTACAAAGCTACATGACAGTATATATTGCCTCTGTGTTTTCTAAATACATCAGTGGAAGTGAAAGAATAACTAGTAATTTTAAAAACAACAGTGAACAACAAAATTAAATATCAATCTCAGTCTCTCTTAAAAGTGTTACTGCCTCTTCTTCAGCTTCCTGAACAAGAACGGTTTGTAAAATGCTTCTAATTTCCTTTATGAAAGAGTAAGCAAACTACACATATGCATTATAAGACAATTGAAAATAATGTGAAACTCATAAGAAAAACGATATAATTTATATCATGAAGTAAAATGGCATACAAGAATAAAACTTTTTAAAATTGTTCTTTGGGGAGAAACGCCATCTTTGAGTTGATCTGAATCTCACAGTTCAAACGGCTGGTTTTGAAGAAAAAAGATGAACTTTATTCACTGTGAAAACTTTAGATAATGTTTATTTATCATGTCACTTGTAATGACTGGTTAGAACAGCATTATCCAGATGATATTTTATTACTTGATGCATTATTGTTTCAAATTTGGTGAGGAGGCAGCATCAGACCTGAAAGTGCTGGATCTGAAGATGATCTACTTAGGGCTCATCCACAAAAAGCCAGAGCTTTCCCTGTCCAATCTTTTTTTTTTCTTTTTTTCTTGTTCTTTCGTAAACATGGCATTGTCTCAAGAAACATCTGCGTACACAAGAAACCACTGAAACCACTCAAAATGATGTAGTATACATGCCAGACCAGTATGTGGCTCTGTAATTCTGCCACAGAGATACACTAAAAAATGGAGAAGACGACTTGGATCATGTTTATAAACCTTGTGCGCTGTATACAAACCCAACACAACAACAAAAAAGCTAGTAAAGTTAGTAAAGCTAATAGGCTCAGTAGCTTCTGCAGCACAAACACAAGCATGTAGTCCAGTCCACCGCTGTTGTTGTTGTTACGTGATGTAGCGGTGTCTGATGTCAGGTGATGACATCATTGTTTCACAAAATATACAGATTGGCCGTACACACAAAACACAAAGGTGTCATTTTCAGATTTATCCACTCTGGGACCCGGTTTCAAAAAATAGTGGTTTCAGGCTCCTAAAACACTGGATCCGTCTGGCAAAATGGCATTACGATACAAAATATTTATGTATAAAGCTAAATGTGGATGGGGCCTTACTGTTATTGTTTTTTTGTATGACTGTGTAAAGCAGATGATTGAATGAAACTCTTCCCACGTGCAGTGCAGTGATACGGTTTCTCTCCAGTGTGAATCCTCTCATGTGTTTTCAGATGTGTTGACTGATTGAATCTCTTGTCACAGTGTGAACACTTATAAGGTTTCTCTCCAGTGTGGATCCTCTCGTGTGTTATCAGATTTGGTGACTGATTGAATCTCTTGTCACAGTGCGAACATTTATAAGGTTTCTCTCCAGTGTGGATCCTCTCATGTGTTTTCAGATGTGTTGACTGACTGAATCTCTTGTCACAGTGTGAACACTGATAAGGTTTCTCTCCAGTGTGAATCCTCTCATGCTGTTTTAAACTGCTCGCTGAAATAAAAGTCTTCTCACACTCAAAGCACATGTACTCTCTCACACCAGTATGTATTTTCTGATGTACTTTCAAATATTGTCACAGTGTGAACAGTTATAAGATTTTTCTCCAGTGTGAATCCTCTCATGCAGTTTTAAACTGCTCGCTGAAGTAAAAGTCTTTCCACACTCAAAGCACATGTACTCTCCCACAGCAGTATGTATTTTCTGATGTTCTTTCAAATTTTGTGGATGCAAAAAACTATTACCACACAAATGACATGAATGTGGCTTCTTCTTTGTATGAACTTTCAAGTGTTTCTTCAGAACTGAAGCCCATAAATACATTTTACCGCATTGATCACATGTGTGCTGCTTCTCTCTAGTGTGGATGTTCATGTGTACCTTAAGGGTTGCTGATACTGTGAAACTCTTCCCACACTGATCACAAGTGAATAGCTTCTCTCCTATATGAATTCTCATGTGACGCTCAAGACCATATTTGTGTGTGAAACTCTTTCCACACTGAGTGCAGTTGAAAGATTTATTGGCTCTTGTTTTCTTTAAATATTTCTGTTTGGTTTGAGAGCAACTCAAAGGTTTTTCTCCAGTTTTGACATGATTTTTCTCCTCAACTTCACTTGATTCTTCTTTCTCCTCATTATCTTCAATCAACTCTGCAACAAAAGTAAAAAC